TTGTATTTTGCATGTGTCAAAAAGTGCTTGCCAGCAGGACTCATTCTGATAGCGACAACAGGAAGTCTGAAATACACCAAAGGAATGAAGGCTTGGGAAGCCAGACGCAGAGGAGCAGCACTAATAGCTGTTCTGGATAAGGAGGTTAAGCCACAAAGAGTTCAAGCCTATCAATGCTGGAAGTTTGTTGCAGGAGATTGTAGGTAGCTGCAAACAAACCAAAAAAATTGCACAAGGAAAAATGCCAAGCAGAGAAGAGCTGTCTTTGTTTGAGAGGCTCTGTTAAAAAAAATGTCTGATAGATATTGCCTTGGAGTATAACTTAGTCTCAGATTCATGACATGTGAATTCTGGCTTTTTGCTCTAAGTTCCAGAAGAAGCTGTTCATTATGAAACATCTCTTTACCTCACTTTCTTGATGGAAGAAGAGATGCAGGAAATGAGCATTCTGGCCCAGCTGTTCCTGCATACTCTCTATCTGCCCAACATTAAATTCTGTGCAGCTGCCAAATCTCCTGTAACTCTCCCTTTTCCAGTCCCATGACCTGCAGCTCAGAAGCTCCCAGGGTCTTATAAGTAGCTCAAGCCCTCCAAATCTCACCACATTTATGAACAGGAACAAAACTGAGCAATGAGGAATCTGGACACATTTTTATCAGTGACTCCTTTAATGAGTGGATGAAAATTTAGGTTTATAATACATGCTGGGATACTAGCACAGTAATAGTGTTGGCTGCTAGGAAAGCTATAAATGCTTGCATTTAAGTACAATAGGCTCTTTATAATCAGATATTTTATAATGTTCTAAGATGTTTCTGATGCTAGTGGCCTAAAAACAAAGTTGACACTGTTAGAAACTGTAGCTTAGACAGACCAGTGCACAGAGAATCCTCTCACAAGACTGACAAGAAATCTGATACATTTTTCCATTGCTTGTGCAGAGGAAACCAAATGGGAAAGAGAAACCACAGAAAGTCAGCTCAGCAGCTTAATGTCTAGCAATATTTTGCACAGTAAAAATGACAAGTAGAATTGGAACAGAAAACACATCTTGCTTTTCAGTTCTGGGGTCCACTGCAGTCTCATACCACTGCCTGTTTTTTAACCAGGCTCAAGAAGAATGAGCTCATTACAGTTTACCACAGTAAAGATGAGCTATCTCTCTGGATAGATAGCAGTTGGACTTATCCATCCTTTTGGAAAATTAAGGCATGGTTCAAACACATATTTGTGTTTTGTTTCTTCTGAGACAGCCAGCCATAATAATCACTCCATGCGCTTCGAATAACATGAGAAACTGAGACTGACTCACTGTTTCCCATTTCATTAGCTCAGGACAGGATGCAGATCCTATAAACACATTCCATGTGAGGCTTTACATGACATGAAGTTCCTTGCTCTAAGTTTGCAAACCCACTGTTTTTCATATCCCTGGAATAACTTTTTATGGTCTCTCTCTTCCAGCTCTTCTGACTGCCCATATCTAAGCATGAAATATGACTTAGGACTGCAGTAACTTTTCCCTTTGTAACTTACTTCTCTCAGCCACAGTAGTCCTGCTTAAGCTTCCCTCTGACTAACAAAATCAAATATGTGCCCATCAATAGGTCACCAATAGTGACAGAATGGACCTTGGATGGTGCCCTTGGAAGGACCTTGGCTGTTAAGCTGCTCATTGCAGCTCCATTTCTACAAATATGGGCCCGAGTTACACCTACTGCAAGTGAATAAACATTGAGCCACATCCTTCAAGCATGTTTTGAGTCCCCGTGGTGAATCAGTAGAGCTCCAGGTGTGTAAGAGTGGGAAAGGCATGTAGTAGGAGAGAGCAGGAAAAACACGCTCTGTGGTAACGGATATTGTTACAGAGTCTGTTGGTAGAGCAAATAAACAATCCTCTGAGAGCCAGAGATGCAGTAGTTCTGTTGGCCTTGAAAAAAATCTTTTGTTAAAAAAAAAGCCAACAGACTAAATGTGTTTTTGTCTTTAGTTGCCTACATAAAGGCACTTAGAGATTTAGTGGAATTTTTCACATTAGCAGCTGTCTCTAAATCAAGTGAATGAGATTGAAGCAGTTCCATCCTACAAAAAAAAAAGGTGGCCAGCTTGGGATTTTAAGCACCTAAATACATTTATGAGCCTGGTTTTTAATATTTTTAATATTATTTTGTGCAGCAGGATTTGGATACTGACATTTCTAGTCCATGAAATATTCCAATGTTTCCATTAAAAAATTCAGAACAAAATATCTACATTTTAATATGTCCCACAGCACGAATTTTAGAGAAACTTCTACATATAGCCATTAAAATATCTTGGTTTTCTACTGCTAAATTGAAGTTCTTTGAAGTTCTACTCTTATATAAAAATTTTAATATATGTAATGGGCTAAAACCCAAGTACTTTTAAAAACAATTTTTAAAATGACAGAAAGCATAGCTAAACAAAATATTCCTGTATTGTTACAATTGCATTTTTCAATGCAAATTTACCCCGTTTAGGGAAGTAAGTATAATGAAATATACAGGTAAATCATAGGTAATTTCTGGTTTTAGCAAATTTCTGTATTTTAGCAAACACACCCAATATTGCTTTGGGTGTGTTTGCTAAAATACAGATGGAGCAAAACAAAAGAGTTTGAGGTTAGTTTGCTCTTTTTTATCATTCTGCTATAAGAGTTTAAATAACCATCAATGGAAAGGATAGCAAGCATCAGTGATAAAGGCTGAAAAACTTAGTGTGTTTGTTTCTTCACTTTAGTAAAACACCAAAGTCTGTGTATTCTTTGTACCTTTTTACTTTTGCGTTTGTAAAGACTTTGACAAATGGACTCTTCACACCCACACTGGAAATTGTCAGCAGCCCACAGCAAGGTACCACTTTGCTGTCCACATTATTACCTGTTTTATGCAGTGGTGCTTCAAAGATATTGAACAATATGTAAAATTTTTACTTTCTCTAAATCTGAAGGGGATTATTTGAACCTCATAGGAAAACTGTGCGTGAAAAGGCAGCGTTATGCTCCAAGCAGTGTGAACTAAGAAAGAATATATAAATACAGCCAGAGACCAATAAAACTGTAACTGCAAATCCACTGTGGCTGTAAATGGTTTCCCTTCAATAATGAAATACCACACTGGCAAAAATGAATATATAACTCATGCTACCCCAACCCTTATTGGACTACAAAATAATGCTATTTTAAAGCAGAGAGTCCTTTCATTCTCTAGAGTGCTCTTTGGTCATGTTTCAAGTTTTCTTCTGCAGCTAGGAGGGCTAAAATCTTACATGAAAAGATGTAGAAACTGAGTCATACAGTCACTTGTTCTGGGGCTTGAAGTGAAATTCCAGATATCCCAACACTGGCAGTAACACCACTGTTGGCAGGAGTCCCAATGACCAAATTTCTCTGTGAAACAAAGCACACTGAAGCTAAGTTTCACAGTTTGAGGAAAGAAAGAAAAACATTTATTCAAGAAGGGAAAACTTACTTGCTGATAGGAAAGAAAAGAAAAAAAAATTATTTTCAGTGAACACATAGAAGAACAGTCTTTTGCTGCAAAGATCTCTAGAAGCTTTTGAAACTTTAAATTATTTCTTGTTGAAGAAAAAAAAATGTTGCCATTGATAAGAATTGTGAGAATCTCTTCTGCAGCTCAGATAATCCAAGCCAGAAGCTACAACTCAGCCTTAGCCAGAATTTTTCTTTCAGTGAGTTATTTGAGCTGTCCCTCTTCTGTTCCTATTATTTCTTACGTGCATGCTCCTGCTGCTGCCCAAGATTGATCTAGCAGAAGTTAGCTGCCTTTGAAACTAACATGAGTATCTGAGAGGGACATTGTTCTCTCCATGTTCCAGGGAGCAGAAAGTTGTGTTAGGGCTCTCTGACGTATAACCTGAATTCTATGACATAGAGCCAAGAGTCTTTGCCTTACACTTTCTCTTTCTTTCCCTCCTAACCCCTTGTGTGAGGCTGGGGAGGCTTTTCAATATGAATATGAATGGCTACTGCAGGCTACAATATGAATGGCTACTGCAGGACTACAACACTTTGTGCCCTTCCTGCTTTCAGTGAGGTGCCAGGAACCGCCACAGTCACCATCTTAAGCTGCAGCAACTTCTTGGGGTGCTGCTGTTCACATGAATAGCAAACCATTACTCATTTGGGCACTCAGTTTCTCTGGGTCTCAAAACCCAGGGAAGGGATTGTGTCCTCATACCTTCATGCCTCTTAGATCTTGCAGAGATTTCATTTCAGTCAATAAAATAATATCCCTTTCTGTATCTTCCTTCAGCATTAACATTTCAGGTGGTAGCAATAAAAGGTTAGAGTTCCTCTTATTACATTAGGAACAGTACTAACCTGGGATGAATTCACTCTGTGTTCAGATTTGTCATCTTTATTGAAGACTCTCTGCTGCAGCAGTTATTGCTTTCCTAGCCTGCTCTAACTTGAAGTCCTACATCGGCAGAAAATGAGCATAAAGAGAGAGCACTGGCGCAACTCTCTTGCATAAGCTCTGATGAACTTGGCAAAAGTGTAATTGTGTGGCCCACCGCTCTGTGAGTCAAGTTTTTATTTCTGTGGGATCCTTTTCAATAATGCTGAGGACACTGTCCAGCTATGGAGAACTTACATGTCTGCGTCTCTTATGGGTGTGAATACCCAAGACTGTCCAAATGAAGTACCAGAAATTCATTGTCTACCACCAGATTTTTGTTGAGCACCAGCTTCTGTCACCTGCAGAGGATGTGTCAGAGTCTTAAGATGCAGCAATGTAATTTATTGAAACAAAAGTTATGTCAGTCTTCTCCCAATTAACAGGCAATAAAACAAGAGGCCTCAAGTTGTATCAGGGGAGGTTCAGGCGGGATATAAGAAAGATTTAATCACAGAAAGGGTCGTCAAGCATTGGAAAAGGCTGCCCAGGGAAGCAGTTGATTCATCATCTCTGGAGATGATGAGTCATATTTAAAATAGGTGTAGATGTAGCACTTTGGGACAGGGTTTAGTGGTGACCTTGGCAATGTGGTTAGTAGTTGGGTGCAATGATCTTAAAGGTCTTTTCCAGCCTAAACAATTCTATGATTCCACACATAATGCCAAGCTGCTACCATTTTCCTCATCCCATGGATAAAACAGCACTGTGGCTGGAAGCACTGTGGGTTAGCTCTTGGAAGTTCCTGCAGGTGAAGCCATTCCAAAATTTCCCCTTATAGCTAGAACCTGTAATGAAGAAAAAAAAATGTTAATTACTGAAATAAGTAGAGTTGACTATTTAATTAGTCAGGCTGTTTATGAGGTCGGTTTTTCCACAGTTTTTCCTGAGAGCTGACAAACAGGGAGAATAGCAAACATACTGCACTTCATTCTCATTGTGGTTGAAGGTTTGTGATTAATTGCCATCAGCTGCATTGAATCTTTAAGGGGCAGAGTACAGGACTGTTACAAGATCATGTTTTGGTAGCCTTTAACACTAGAGCTCTGCTAAGGTTTCTTCCACAGAAGTTGGAGAAATTGCTGTAAGAAGGAGGGATACCAAAATTTTGCAGTGTCCTGAGGAGGAGAAGAGAGTCTGTGCTGGTTGATCAGACAGCTCAGGTAAGAGGCTTGCTTTGGGGATCTGTACTCCCAGCCCATGGCACAGCAAGTACCTAAACAGAAGAATAAAAAACCCTTTCCATTACTAATGGAGCAGATACAGTCAAGGCTAGTTGCAGCTTCTCAAATAAAAATTAAAATAAATAAATAAAAAAAAGGGCTCGTTTTTATGTAAAGGAAAAACTCCCACCCCAACCCTTACTCTGAACAGCCCAGAGCCTCTTGCTGCTGGGGCACCTTGTTGGAGCCACTTCCTCTCCCTATTTTGGTGGGCCTTGCATCCTGTTGGTTGCAGGATGGCAGCTCTCTCAGGGAGGCTCTCTACCTTTAACATGTAGCAGCTGTGATTTTCAGCAGGGCCACCTCACACAGCCCAGTAAAGAGCCAGATGAAGACTCTTGTTGCTTGTTTTGCTCCTCTGTTCCTGGCTATGTTATCCCCCTCTCCCTGGGCTCACTCACTGCTCGCAGACATGTGCTTTAAAAGTATCCTGAGCTCCACTATGAAAGCTGGTGATGCATAGCATATTCTAAGGAAAGATTTGCCTCTGTTCAGAAACCTTCCTGCCCTCATGACTGAAGAAGAACAAAATAATGTATTAACAAAAACATGGTTCACTGCCAAAGAAAAGGAGTTCCTGTAAGGACTGAAACAATAAATCTCCTCTGTACTGAACTCCCAGAGGGAGTATGTTGTGTTTCCTCCTGTTCTTTATCAAAGTCCCCAAAATAAGCAGGAATGGGCAGTGACCAGGCACAGTCACCACACACCTTTTTCCATGGAGTAATTAAGGCCTGCCCCAGAGTGAGAGAGCACTCCCTGCCCAGCTGCACAAGGGAGAGCTGACAGCACTACCACCAAGCATGAAGCTCCTGGGGACTGCTTGCTTTTTCCTTGCTGTACTCTGTGTTTGCACTGTAGGAGGTAAGTTCTTTGGCTTTTTTGGATAGACTTGTCACATCTCTCAAGTGGTTTGTGAACAAAAGCTGAGCTGTCAGTCGCTGGGTGCTTTTTCTTAATTTCTACTGCAGTGATTGAAAGACTGTGTGTTGGAGGAGAAGGTACTAACTGGCAGCTGAGTTATATGTGTTCTGTGAAAAACTTTCCTGCCATTGTATTTTTCTGACAGCTTTCTTTCTAGGTGTCATGAAGCTTCTAAATCTGAGAGGAGTCAAAAGCAGAGGTGTATTTACAAAAGTTTGCAGTTCTGTTTTTCTTCTACATGTTAAAGCATTTTTTTGCAAAGATGGCTTTAAGGGGACAATTGAAATGCCTGAAAGGTTTTGCTCTTTTAAATTAGATCCATTCTGATAGATTTCCCTGGCACCATGCCAGCAATGTGTTTGGCCAAAAATGTCTCTAAGAAATTATTTTAGGTTTGGCTCCAAAGATATAGGGGCTTACAACATTTGTCAAGTGTCAGATAATGAGGGGTGCAAGCCTAGGGGTCATGTTGGTTATTGTGTGCAGTATTTTTTAGATATGGTTCTTAAATGCACAGATTTAATACAACTTTTGGTGTTCAGGTGGTCAGTGAACTGATGTTTTCATTATTCTTCAGTTTGAAAGACCATGCTTTTAAAATGGAATTAACTAGTAAAACCTGAATAGGTGAAAGAACCTGCAAAAAGAGCCAGAATCTATAATCACCTTTGTCAAAAGATACATTTGAAGTAAAATCTGTCTTTTATCTGTACTTTCATTTCCCATCTCTCTGGGCTACAACTTCCACAAATGCCTATAGATTGCCTTAAAAGGATGCAATAACCAGAATTTAAAAATTTGATAACACTAGATTACCTGATATAAATGAAGTTAATCAACTTTTATGCTCGGGGAGCAGAAAGCTCAGGTTATGTGTTGAAATCTAGTATTTTGTGGTGTATCTTATGCTGTTGCTTGGGCTCGTTGCTGTTAGGAAAACAAATCAATAAAGGAGATTAAAAATAAGCCTGTGCCACAGAAAGAACTGCTTTTAAAGTTATGTTAAGTAAGTACAAGCCCCAAAAGTCTGTGTTGAGGTACTATTTATTCTCTGTCTGCTACTCCTTGTAAAAATAGTCTTCCTGTCATTGTCAAAGCTTTAATTTCACAATCTCTGAAAAGCAAAGTGGAGTTGCATCAAAAAGAGCATATTTAACACAACAGTCCATAAATGTTACCAGAAAGCAACATGCAAAGGTGGGAGGAATCCTGCTAATTTTGTACAGTTCTTTCTTTAGAAAGGATTTTTCCTCCTCTGCATGATATGAACATGGCAGAACTGATGACAGTGAATAAGCAGATTTTATATATGATACATTTGTTCTGAACAATTTTGGTTCTGTAAAAACAGAAAAAAAAATTTTTTAACACTTAATTGCAAGGTAGATGTGGTAGTGAAATTCTGTTGGCAAATTCACATTAGAAAGTTAAGAAAATTTATGGGACTATTTGGAGTATATATTTTCTTACCTTGTGAAAGTTAAATTATATGCTCCGGTCGAGCTTGCTTCAGGCAGCCCCGTGTTAAGACAGAAGTGGTTTTATTGTCTGTTGTGCAAAGCTGGACCGAAGTATTCTGATTTCCATTTTTTGTGATCTCTAAAATGTTCTGGTCATCTGGACTGTAACAGCAGACTTATGATCTGGGAAGTGATGGTGAGGAGACTCACACCATTCTCCATTTTTTGAGCACTGGAGACAGCAACAAAACTTTCCTCCAGCTGTTTTTAGTATTTTTAAATGATAATAAATAATAATATAATTATTATATATAATCTAATTTTTAGAGAAGGTCAAATCACACCCCAGTGTTTTAATACTCCCTCCCCCCGGTTTTGGAGTAGCTTGCTTTCAAAGCTCACCAAGACAAATGTATGGGCTTCCAACTTTTTTGTGTGCTACACAGAAGATGTTTGTCTGTGTATTTTTTGTATATCATACTGAAGTGGACTAGGACATTTCCACTGTGGTTAGTAAAGCACATACTCCTGTGGGGCTTTCAAATTTCATCCTTTTTCTTCAGCTGTATGCTCCTCATGGTCTTCTATGCAATTTTCTATCTTGTCTTGGGATCTTTCATCCTCAAAAGCCCATAATGTTTTGGTGGAGTCTGCCCTCTGTCAGCACACTTCTAGAGGCTCAGTTAGATACAGATGTGGGGGCTGATAGACCCCTGACAACTTGTTCCTCCTACCTAGACTTCTCTCAACCCTCTGGGAGTTAAATGACATGCTTAGAACAGGAGTTCCTTGATGCTCATCTCAAGGTGTTCAGTTCTCCTGGCATATTGCCCTTTATTCTTACCTGCTCCAAAATGTATCTCGAATAAAAATGCTTTCTAGGTTGGTTCATAGCATTTTCAGCTTTAAACAGGCAGCACTGGGATGTGTCAAAAAATACAATGTCAAATTATAGTAATCAAATACGAATGCTCTTGAGTCTGCCTTAGGATGTAATTACTTTAAAATGTGTAAAGGTGAACTTGTTTCCTTCTAAAAGATGAGAGGAGAAGCCTTGGCATGTGCTTATAATGTAAGTGCTTAGATGCTGCATTTTCTTGTGCCTTGGTCTTGGAATACAGAGTGGCTGTGGCTGCACAGCACAGCAAACATCCACACAGTGCTGGTAGCACAGCACTGCATCCTTCTCGCTGAGACACCCAGGCTGGCTTCTTGCAGAAGTGGTGGCAGAGGGCAGTGGGCTGTGCTCCTCCTGGCGTCGGGCTGGACGTGTCCAGGTTGTGCAGCTGAGCAGAGGGGCTGGAATGAATCACCTTGTGTTGGACACGTCCAGGGGTGGGGTGTGAACTCCCGACTGCTGACCGCTGTTGACAGCCTGAAGTAGCTTTATCCGAGTGCTCTGTCCATGTTGATGGCACTACAAAGAAACAAGGGTGTTTTTATTGTTTGAAAGGTAGGAGCAAATCTTGGCATTTAGTGTTTGGGCCAAATGCCCCTTAAGTAATTTGGAGCTGCTCCATTTCACTGTGGATCAGCCCTAAAATATGAGTTTCCCAGCCCCTTTCCTCATTATGGGGATGCTGTGTAGCATGCCAAACCTACAGCACAGCTGATTAATCCCAACTCCCAGGCTGATAGCTTGAGAAAAGTTCCACTAAGCCAGGACTCCTGTAGTTACTAGAGACATTTGCTGCTGTCTGAATGCTGCTCTTGTTGATGTAAATTAGAGGAGATGGATAGCCTTTTCCTTTTCCACCTTCTGTGCTCTCCGCTCACAAGCCCTCAAGTATTTTAAAAATTAATTTTTAAAATTAAATACTAACTAAACAGTTTTGAGCAGTGGAAGCTTTTGAGAATGGTCTCACCTCACTCTGGGTTATTATTCATGTTTGTTCTCTGGACAACCAGCAAGGCACAGACGGTCAAAGTTGGATCATTGTCTCATTTCTGAAAATTTGAGAAATGTGAATAGGCTTTAGATATGACTTTCTTACACCTTTAACTTGCTTGAACCAAAACTTTGAATGTCTTCAGAATTTGCCTGTTGTGAAAAAAAAAAGAATTGTATTTGGTGTTTTCACTGTTTCTAGCATTTGCCAAGATTAGCTTTGTGAAAAATCAAATTATAGAGCTGGAGCTTATGATAGCCTTTAATGGAATATTGAATTTTTATTCTTCCTGTGCAGATTTTTTTTTGTTCTTTCTTTTTCCCTGCTGCCACATTCCCTTCATTCATTAAATCCTTTGCATATTGGGGCAGCTTTTGACTAATGGAGTTTAAAGGTGTATTTTTTACTGGACAGAAGAAAACGGCATGTTGTATCACCAAAACTGGAAGCAAGTTTACTGCATTTACTGAGGATAGAAGCAGATGGCTTGATACCTGCTTGGTTATGATTTACAGCCAAAATAAATGGAAACTGAGTATGAAGGGCAAGTTGCCTACAGCATTCAGCTCCAAAACTGGGACTACATAATGCTGTATAACTTGCCCAAAAATTGGTTGTCTTTTCTGAAAATTTACCAGAATGTTTTCTCTTTTCTTTAGCTGACTCCTTTTGTCTGTGTTCAAACCTAGAGTTCTTTTTAAT